TGTTTGGTTTGTGAAAGTTTGGGGTGCGGCTTATATTGCAGACTTTTTCCTGGGATCAAAACTTGTCAATTTCAACATGAAACAATGTCTCAAGTTAGGGGTGCGGCTTCTATTAGAGCTGCGGCCTCAAAAAGGAATTTTACGGTATTGTGCAAACTTACCACGTTCTGACTGAACCCAATATAACCCTATATTGTGCAAACTTACCATGTTCTGACTGAACCCAATATAACCCTACATTGTGCAAATTTACCACGTTCTCACTGAACCCAATATAACCCTATATTTTGCAAACTTACCACGTTCTGACTGAACCCAATATAACCCTATATTGTGCAAACTTACCACGTTCTGACTGAACCCAATATAATCCTATATTGTGCAAACTTACCACGTTCTGACTGAACCCAATATAACCCTATATTGTGCAAACTTCCATATCCCCAATTGACCTTTTCAGCTCATTTTCAAAATGGGAACATTGTACGACACATTACATATGTATAGTTTGTAATAAGACTTTACTGATATTTTCAACTTACTTTTCTCTTTAGTTTCACCAGTAGAGTATGGCATATTGGAACAACAACCACCAAATAGAGTGAAACGTGGACTCATGCTAATGTCTAAGATTATGCAGAGTATAGCCAACCACGTACCATTCACTAAACAGCAACATATGTTAATTTTTAATGATTTCTTGAAGAATAATTTTGATTCAGGAAGAAAGTAAGTGTTTTTAGTTTTGTATATTTTCTGACCAGTTTTTTAGATATCAGCATCATCCTTTCATTTCATTTGTCCACAGATATATTTCAATACATTCGTCCGTACTTACTTCACTTCTACCATTATTTGGTCATGATTCCAGAATGCTTAAGAGTTTTGGCTTCACTTTGTAAAATGTCAAACTATCACCTCAGTGAATTTATTAATTTGACATCTTTGAAAACTACTAAATGTGATTGCTTTTATATTTCATATGTAGTTGCTGTGGATTGACCTTTCTCAGATTTGTTCATACTATAACAATATTTTTGTGAATTTGACAAAGACAAATTGACATGACATTGATTAAAAATCAAATCTAGTGAAGATCATTGTCTCCAGAAAAAAGTGTTTTTCTTCCTTCCTACACATCAACAATTTGCTTATTATTATTTTTTTATAGATTTTTTCAGGAAATTGCCTCAGACTGCCAAACAATTGACAGTAATAACCACAGTCTTTCAATCCACTGTGATGCTAATGTTCTTGCGTTGCATCGTCTACTTTGGAACAATCAAGAGAAAATAGGAGGTTATCTCTCAAGTAGTAGGTGAGTGATTGGTCAGTTTTGATCATGTGATCAAATAGTAAGTGATTGGGCAGTTTTACTCATGTGATTCAATGTTTCTGCTGTGATTGGCTGCAACAAAATTGATTACTGATTGAAGAAATTAATATTTTTCTAAAAGAAAATTAGATCCTCTTGATATCTTTTGAGTTATGTTCCAAATTAATTCTCAATTTGATCAGTTCTGATTTAACATTAAAATGGATATTCTGTTCAAGATATGCATAAAGTATTGGTTTCATTGATTCAGAATTGATTTAAAATTTAGGTACAGTAACATGCTCGCTGTCTTTTTCAGAGATCATAGAGCAGTAGGTCGACGACCCTTTGACAAGATGGCTACCTTATTAGCGTATTTAGGCCCACCAGAACATTCCAGAATTAATGCAGATACTCAGTAAGTATTTTCTCTTGCTCAAAATAAAATCCTAGTTTGT